TTACGGACGGACCCAATCGGCCGGGTCGGCATCGTGTAACGAATTCCGATCGTGAGAGGAACGCTGGTGTTTGTATGGAGAAAATACCAGCGACCGACGAACGTTTGAGCATCTACGAGGTGAACCGCAAATTGTTGGCCAAGAGCTGCAGCTGGATCCAGCACGCGCTAGCCGGGCGCGCGGCGTCCGACTATTCCGACTAGTGCCGGCGCCGCCGCCTTGCGCTGTCATCTTCGACCTCGACGACTGCATTCGGAATTTCTATCTTGTATCCTGCGCATCGACTAATGGTGTATCAAATCGTGAGTTTTGCCACACTCATGCTTTCACAGCCTAGTAAGCTTCAACTGGCGGCGAGAAATGTCGATCTCGCGTCTGCAACGTCATTGCTTTGCTGCCAGCATCTGTTTCACGGCCGCTTCCTGTCATTTCGCGCTTAATTCTGCGATCTACGCACGCCCATTCAGTCAAAACCCAAAAACTAGCAGGTACGGTGGAGGCCTCTTTGGTGCTTGTTGAAATTGCTCGTATCTATGGTGCGCGTATGTGCAAACGGCATGCCTGTCAGCTGCTGAGCAGTATGCGGTCCGACCCTTGCATCCTTTTTCCTTCTCCCATATTGGTGGGAAATCGAGCCACCGTGGAGCTCCTTCTCCTGCCGCTCATCCTTGTACAAAGGTTAAGAGAGGTGTACGTGGCCTCGAGATAACCTAGTCACTCATGGCGATTGTACCTGTGAGGACGGACTTTCTTTCCACCTTGTGGGCGTGCGCACCATGGGCAACTGCCCTTGTGTGCCTCTATTCGCTCTTGAAAGCCGTATACAACGTGTACTTCCATCCGCTCTCCCGCTATCCAGGACCGAAGCTTGCCGCGGCATCTCTCTGGTGGCAGGCTTATCTTGATCTCTGGGTGAAAGGCAGCTTGTCTTTGAAGCTTGTAGAGCTCCATGCGACCTATGGTAGGCCAACGTCTCTTCTGACTAACATGAACCTAGCTCATCTGTGTCTAGGCGAGGTCGTTCGCATTGGCCCTAACGAGGTGAGATACATAATTCAAGACGGATATGTGCTATTCTTATTCGTAATTACCACGAAGCTCCACTTCTCTCGACCTTCAGCATATCACGAAATATATAGCCCGCAAAACCGATGGACGAAGGGCTCCTACTTATACAACGCCTACGCAGACACTAGCTCGCGGTCGACGTTCACGCTTCTAGACTATGAAAGCGCCAAGAAACGTAGAGATCTCACGATGAACCTCTTCTCTCGCAAATCGATCCTCGGGATGCAGAGCCTTGTCCAGGAATGTGTACGTCACTTGTGCTCCTGTCCTCAGAGCCCATGGTCCTGATTACAAGATCTAGGTCGACGAAATGTGCGACAATATCGACGACCACATCGCGAACAAGAAATCAATCAACTTCCGACGTGCTTTTAGGTGCTGTACCTTGGACACCATCTGCTCACTATGTTTCGGCTGTACCACAAATGCACTCAGCGCATCAGAGTTTCGTAGTCCAGTTGAACATGCTTTAGAGACAGCATTATCCATCCGACGCATCTTCAAGCATATTCCTGGCGCAATGACGCTTATCCTTAGAATACCGCCAGATTTGCTCACGTACTTGCAGCCGGACACAAAAGGACACCTGGAAATGAACAAGGTTCGTGTTTTAACGTTCATTCTGTCGGTGCGCCCTGAGAGTTGACCCCATATCCAAGATGTTAGTCGAACAAGTTCGCGGAATCTTCGCCAACCCACAGACCCTGGCCAATGCTGATCATCCCACCGTGTTCCACGAGCTCATGAAGGCCAAGGACCAGTCAATCTTCTCGGAGCAGGCCTTCCTGGACGAGGCCTGGCTCTTCCTCTTCGCGGGCACCGACACCAGTAGTGATGCCCTCACTGTCGGCACCCTCCACGTCCTCGGCGACCACCATGTGTACGCCAAGTTAATGAAGGAGCTGCTCGAAGCTTGGCCGAAGCTCGACGACAGGCCTCGTTACGAAACACTTGAAAGTCTACCTTATTTGGTGAGTCGTTTCATGCCATTGGTGTGCGAGTTGGTCTGATTCTACTGCCCACTGGATAGCGTGCCGTCGTAAAAGAGTCGCTCAGGTTCACGCACGGAGTGGTCACCCCCTTGACCCGCGTCGTCCCGCCAGAGGGCGCGGTGATCTCTGAAGAATTCATCCCGAGCGGAGTACGCCGCATTCGTTCCCATTCACGTTATCGTCGAGCTGACACACCTACTACTCCAGACCGTCGTGAGCATGAGCAACATATTCGTCCACACAAACGAGGAGATCTTCCCGGATCCGCACGCGTTCAAGCCCGAGCGGTGGCTCGGCCCAGCCGCAGGCTCGCTCGACAACTGGCTCGTCTCTTTCGGCAAAGGGTCCACGGAGCTGCATCGGAATCAAGTATGCGGCGCTCCGATGCACTCATTCCCAAGCTCTTCGCTGACTGTTCCTACTAGTCTTGCGCATTGCGAGATGTACCTCGCCTTCGCGAACCTCTTCCGTCGGTACGACATGCGGCTGAATGGTGTGAGGTGCGTCTTGCAAGTAGGTCACTCCCGTCGCGCGCGCTGATTGATACTACTCAACAGCCCGTCGGACTGGCACTGGGTCGACGAGTTCACGCCTGTGTATGACGGCTCGGCGCCGCTGGAGCTATATGCTCAGGCGCGCTCGACTTGAGCATGCTTGAACCAGATCACTCTCATTTCCATGGTAGATCTCGTGAGAATACCATTAGGTGCCGAGGTGTAAACTAGGAATCCAGGAGTTCATATGATGGCATGCGTCATGGTTGTGATTAAGGAGAGCCTTCTTGCCCAGCCGTCTTGCCGGGCCCGTGGGCAGTCGTTGAGAAGGCCCACCCACCGAATGACTTGGTACTTCTGCAGTTCATGCAGATAGAGCTCCCAGGCACACGCGTCTTGCTTCGACACCCAGAACGTTCCGTGGCATTGGTCCTGGCTATTCGTCAGTGCGGTGCGTCGGTACTTCCTTGCATGCGGCCGCGGGTGCCGGTAGGAAGAAGGATGCGCGTTGTTTTCGAGAAGAAGTAAATCGTAAAGATATGGTACATGTCTGTACGGGCTCAAGGGAGCATAACATCGAAAATACATGTCGTACTAATGCAACGCGAAGTATTCTCACTATTCTGATAGTCGAGCTGGCATGGCAGGTATCGTGTCTTATCCGGACGAGGCGCGGTTGATGGAGTCGGCAGCAAAGTCCTCCGTATCAGTTTTCATGAAAAGAGCTGTATAGCCCTGCTGTCTTAGTGCGGCACTAAAGTGAAGATCCCACGTCAGTATGTCGGGGTGGTTTAACATGTACTGGCGCAGACTCGGACCCACTTGGAGGAGACCAACTGCGGAACTTTATGGTCGACATAAAGTTGCCACGCGCACACATGTTCGGGTGTCACATTGTACGTGCCATCGCATGGGTCCTGATTATCGTTTGAGCCCAAACACCTATATGTTCCGGACCGTGACTGTACAGGGTTCCCGTATGTACAGCGCCTACTGCACTTGATGCCGCCAATGGGTTGAACGAAGACATATTTGTTTGTCGTGACTGCTAGGGAGATAATATCGTTCATGAATCCGATGAACACAACCAGCACACATGACTACTCACAGTAATTCATTACTGAAGCTGAGATGACCAGATCCGAAGAAATAGATGCGGGTGGATGTGCGCGAGGAAGCTGGCAAGAAAAACAGATGAGTATTTATATAACCCAGCAAAGTGGGCTGGTTCCGAGATTCTGTTGAGCTATGTCACTGCGTTCGATACGCATTAGTGTCACTGAGGCAGCATGCTGCAAGTCGCACAAACGCTTTAGCTTTTCGGAGGCCCCGACAGTCCCGCTGAGGAAGAGGTTCTGTCTCCTTCTGTTAAGAGATATCCATGCCATTCTTCTCTCACGTTCTGGATGTCCTTTAGCACAAGGAGCCTCACCTGTCTATACATCCGACAGGCTCGGAATCGAAGTAGTACTAATATTGCTGTAAGACACGCCCGAGTTGTATCCACGATCCTATGTCGCGGTTACATGGCTGCAAAGTGCATACAAATTCAGTAACATGATTCTTAAACCTGTTCGAGGTGCCGCCTCATGTTGGCGTCGTGGAGGTTTAAACAAAGTGATGTGGCGCTTCCGGCTCAAGACACGGCGCCTATGGCACCGTGCATCCCTTCATGTCTTGTTACACCACCATGCAGCCTTTACCTTGACTTTGTGTCGAATGTAGCTCATAGTCCTGAAACAAAGGTTATCAGGGAAAGGAAGGAAGACAACGAGCAAGCATTAGGTAAATGGCTGAACCATACTATTCAGTCCAGTAGTCGCTTCAACTCAGCGATGATCCGCGCATTACAGCTAACCAGGGCTCGCACCAAGGGTTTTGACCATGTCTTCAATCCTTGTGCATCGACTGACAATGCTCCTGCCCATGTGACCGAAAGCTTGTGTATCAAAGTCACTACACCTGACCGGTTGACCATCGAGTCGCAGACGAGGCCTCTTCGGCCCCGCACCGTCGCCATGAGGCTGCCACGCCGATCTCGTTTACTCCAGTAATGAACCAAGAAACCGTGATAATCTGGCATCGCCCCTCTGAAAAATGCTGGCACGGCGTGGGCAGCTGCTTCAAATCGTTGCACGCGTCGTCCACGCTGGTCGTGCCACGACCCTTATATACGCCTGCAAGGCCGACTCGATCTTCACTCGAACGTCCCCAAAGCAACGATGCCCTCGGTCGCCTCACTCGGTCTCAAACTGCCATTTCAGCGCAAGACTCAGCAGAAAACAGTAGATGCTCCACAAGCAGAGCAGCCTCATCAGGTGAAAGGCCTCGCACAGCCAGATCAGCCGCCGCCGACGCATGTAGTCACAACAGTCGGGGTACCCCGACAGAAGGAGAAAGCAGTTATTCTGTGAGATACCAGCATGATATCTGGACGGTAGTAGATGCTGATGTATCAAATGTAGTGTAATGGGTCCCACCGGTGTTGGCAAGTCAACGGTAAGCCTACACGTCTTTCACGTATGAGGTCTCGCAAACCAAGCATATCACAGTTCATCAACCTTGTCAGTAACTCCGACCTGCGTGTCAGCGACAGTCTTGTCTCGTGCACAGACCGGATAGAGATATCAAAACCTTTCGAGCTGGACGGCAAAGAGGTTACCTTGGTCGACACGCCAGGCTTCGATGACACTTCCAAGAGCGAATCCGACATACTGAACGTCGTCTGCGAGTTTATGGCGTCAGAGTGCGCTCCGTTTTTCGCTCACGGGTGAAGCGCGTCGCTGACCTCCGGCGCAGATACAGCCAAGGCCGCTTGTTACACGGCATCCTGTACCTGTACCGTATCTCCGACAATCGCGTATCAGGTGTCGCCGCGCGCAACCTACGCTTCTACCGCGAGCTCTGCGGGCCTGCTGCGCTCGCGAACAGCATCATTGTCACGAACATGTGGGGCCTCGTCGACGCCACGATGGGTTCCGCGCGCGAGGAGGAGCTCAAGACCAAGCCCGCGTTCTTCAGGCCCGCGCTCGAGCACGGTGCGCGTGTGCTGCGGCACGACGGCACCGCAGCCTCCGCGCAGAGCATCCTGCGGCCACTTGTAAACAGCAAGCCGTGCGTGCTGCAGATCCAACGCGAGCTCGTCGACCAGGGCCGGGCCGTGTACGAAACCGTCGCGGGCGAAACGCTCCTCGAGGACCTCGCGCGCGCGCAGCAGAAGCACGCGCAGGAGATAGAGCAGCTCGAGGGGGACCTCCAGGACGCGCTTTCGCAGAAGGACGAGGAGGGCCAGCGTGAGCTCGAGGAGGAGCGTGCGCGGATACAGGCCGAGCAGGCGAAGCTCGAGGCGGAGAAGCAGAAGCTCATGCAGCTCCAGATCGTGGCCGCGACGAGGAAGGCTGCCCAGGTCCAGGCCCAGGCCACCGAGCACGCGCACGCACACGCAGCCGCACGAGGAGCTCAGATCGAGAACACTGTGACCGTGTCCCCACCACCGAAGGCACCAGCTGATGAGGAGGGGAACGGTGCGCCCTATGAGGCAGAAGGTAGCGTTGGCTGCTTTGGCTTGTCTCGTCTCATACGTGGTAAAGCACGCCGTGACTCGGGGAAGCAAGCAAAGGCTAAATCTTCGTCTCGCAGTGTTCATGCTAAGGCTTGACAAGCTGTGGGCGCGGATCGCTGTTTGCTTCGCAGAGCCGTTTTACCGCTTCATAGGATACAGCCGTCAGGACTAATCCCGGACATTATTACCTATTTGCCTTGGTGTATACTGCAGTGTTTTTCGTAGCATGAGAATCCATCGCTGGTTCGAGGATATCATGAACTTTGTAAGGGACAACGAAGGTGCTTACATCTAAGCGCGAGGGGAAGTCGCAGCCTATATATGGTACAGGGTAAGAACAGATGAGGTGAGGAAGAGATGGAACGACGAAATCAACGAGGGTGCAAGGGTAATAAGTAGCGCAAAGAGAACCGTTGGGTCACCTAGAATCGTGCTTAGAATCGTGCTTAGACCACAGCAGAGCAGATGAGAAGACAGGGGAATGGAAATAAGACTAATGAGAGTTGAAGCGACGGCGGCGGAAGTGGCCCGCGAGAGTTGGAGAAGAAAAAGCTGATAGCAGGGGCAATAGATATAGATAGGAGCGTAGCAGAACGCGAAGAGATACGAGGACCATATTAGGACGTGAATGTCGTGGGCATTTCGTGTGCGAGCAGACAAACGAAGGTCCAATAGATACGGCTGAAGATGCAGGTGGAAAAGTCCAGATGATGGTGTAGGCGGATCGGGACCGGGCTACTGGGACATATTAGACGGTGCTGTTGCTACATGATTGCGCGGGATGAATTGCGATTGACTTGCGAATGTGAGATGGCGAGGATCAAACGATAGATAGGTCCGTTGGCCACTCCGGCTAGCCGATGGCAAGTAGAACTCGCGCAGACCAGGAAGCACCAACCAACAGTTCGTTGGGGGAAAACGGCTCAGACGCGGTGGTCATACAGAACTCTTCACCAAATCAATCCCCGCGCCCAAGCCACCGCCTCCACCTGGGGCGCTCGCTGCGACGTTCTCGCGTCCGTTTGTCCCACCGTTCAATCCATTGTGTTCCTCGAAGAGCTTTCTGCCCACGTTCGCCCGCAGACTCGACAGCTTCGATGATCCACCAGACGCTGCGGGCGACGGCGAGACGTTCAGGAACTCGTGCAGGTTGAACCCGGATCCCATGGGCGAAGATATCGACCGCGACTCGGAGGTGATGGGTACCGAAGCAGACCGCTCGAGTGGACGCGCGCGTGTCGGCGATGACGGCGCCGGAAGCAGCTGGGCCCCGCGCATATCCATAGTACCGGGCTCGCCCAAGTCGCCTGAGCGCTGAACAGAGCGCGTATGAGGATTGAGTGGCGATGACGGGATATGCGCCCGCGAGGAGCCCGCAGTTCCCGCCAGGGCCGAATCCCCCTCGATAGACGTAGTGGAGCTAAACGCACTCGAGCCGTCTCTGCGTAATACCCTGCTTGCCGGCGGATTCCGGTCATCCGGTCCCTGACCCGACCCTGGGAAGAGCACACGTCCTTTAAGTCCTGTAGAACCGCTGAGACTCCGGAACGCGGGTGAATCTTTCCCATCCCTGTCCCTGGATGTCGCAGGATGCACTGGCGAAGGAGATGTTGCCAGAAACAGCATGAGATCTGCCGCTTCAGTATCGCTCGGAGGGTGTGGAGTGGTGGTGTTAGACAGCCGTTTGTCTGCAGGCCGTACCTGCGCCTTCGGGGTGGTAATCGAACTGCTGACATGCGGCAGACTCTGCGTGCGCGCGTGGCGGGTGGACGACGGCGGCGTGGTAGACCGCGCGCATCGTACATTGAAGGAGTTATCAGCAGTGGGCACGAGCGAAGTAGGTGCGGTGGTACGCGCAGAACTCTGCGCAAAGTGGGAATACGACTGTGTAGAGCCGCCGTCCGAGCCGGCGGACATGCTCGATCGCGGCGAGGAGGCTGTGACGGACACCGATGGTCGCGAGTGTAACAAAGATGTTAATGTCGCCGCTGCCTTCATGTCGTCGTCATTGTCAACGAATCCCTCCGAGCCCAGCGTACTCTGGGGAGTGATGAGCCGGCTTGAGGGCGCAGTCTCACGCTTCTTCCCCTTCACGTCTTTCCTGCCCTTGGATTTTGGGGAAGCGCGTGCCGAAGCGCGGGAGGCCTTGGCTGTCTTACGAGGAGGCGTCACAGGCCTTGCTTTGGGCGGCGGGGGAATTGGCGGGTCTTCCGGGTTATGGATGGTTCTTGCGCGCTTAGAGGGCGGGGGTTGTAGGAGTGAGGAGAAGAGGCTCTGGGTCGCCGACGCTGTTACCGGGGCAGGAGGGGGCATTGTGCCCTTTCGCGATAAGCCTCTACTTGACGCGCCCGAGACCATGGCACTGTTGCCCTGCGTGGCGGGATTGTTGTAATGGTTGCTGCCAGGCCGACCGATAGGCATCTTCATCGTTGTTACATGGTCCTGCGTCTGTGCTTCGAGGTCAGCGAGACTAGCCTGCGCGATATTGTGTGTTGCCTTGAAGGATGCGTAGGATAGGCGTGTTCGAAGACCACGGGCAAGCTGCGGGGCAGTGTGAGTAAAGGGGCCGACCGCACATATTTTCACGGGCGGTATGTACCTGGGCTAATTCTGCGTTCGCAAAAAACTTCTGTATGGCTCTCTGTCGCTCTTCCCGCGCAGCTTGGTCGGTATCCTTGCCAGCGATCGGCGTCGTCGAGGGAGAGGCTGCGCTTGCCTGGAGAAATGGAGGGCGCGGCGATGGCGTGGTGCCAGATGACGAGGGAGTCGCCATGTTCGTTGTGCACGGCTAGTTTGCGAGGGGGGACGCTGCTTGCGCCGTCGCCGTTGCCGTTATCGACGTCGTCGAGGAGGGGGGAAAGTAGCGGACGCGGTCAGACGCGACGCGCCCCCGGTACGGCACATTGATTACGCAATACTCCCAGCATCACGTGCGCGCAATTCTTGTCCTCGTGTTTCGTCTCCATTCCACGCTGTGCTGCTCAGAAAATGACCTTACAGGAAAGCAGACAAACGCCAATATTGTTCTGATACGACGGTGTATTGGAAAGGGAACAATTATAAGGAATTCGCAACAAGATGGCCCCGATATGGTATTCCATAGAGGTTAACGCCCTATGCAAAGCGTCAACTTGAGCGGGTATCCCTGCATCGCTTCGCGGCGAAAGACATCCTTCTGAGGCAGGTGATCCTTCGGAAACACGCTCTCTTTGTAACGCACGCTCCGAGAACGTCGGCTTGTCGGGCGAGCTTGTGCATTCGGGGTCGTACACGTCGGGCGGTTTAGATCATGTGCCGATTTCACGCCATCCAACGCGCTCAATCGTCGTAGCTCACCACAAAGATTCTTCCGAAGAAACGTTACGGCCGAGGCGTGCATTTACTGGGCCTGAAAAAGCAAATCCGTTCGCGGAACGTGGTGAACCCGGTCATGTGACAAGTGGAAATGAGCATACGGAATTATTGCAATTATTGCAAATGGAGATCGTGTACATTCTATTCCACATTGTATCATGTCTCTATCGTTCGTGTCGTGATTGCTGTGAAATGTCTATGGCAGATGTCTATGACTCGGAAACAAGAAATCCAACCAGACAGCCATCTAACATGTAGTCGACATTCACCCAGGCGTGAGTCAACGCTGAGTAATGCGCAATTAGCCGCGAGATGGGTGAAGGTGAAAACCACGAGATACGCACAGAACAGTCTGGTACCATCTCGCCCAGCGACACGCATAAGTTCCTTCTCTCCCCCTGGGTGGTACGGAAGGTAGTGCGTGATATTATACACTTTCCCGTTGAACGCAGACCATGCATCGTCTTTCTTATTGTGTTGCTTCAGTATGGATGGCGTTATGCGCATCAGCTGGTCGGTGCCCTACGAAACAAACGGAACCGATCAGCAACAAGCACAAGATCCGTAAAATATGGAGCGTACTCTCAGATCCTTCCCGGACTTCTTGAGATTCGCCCAATCCAATGGACCGTGTCCGGGAGCAAGCGCAACCTTTCGAGATTTCTTCGCAGGGGCTTTCGTTGTGGAGAGCGGTGGCGCCAACATATTCGCGCTCGAAGGCACAACCAAGGAACTAGACGCGATCGGGACGCCGGGCTGTCGCGCAGCAAGGCTAGGAAGCGGCGGCGGCGGCATCAGCTCGGAGTCGTTTAAGATACGAGGCAGTGGGGCAGGTTTCGAGCTCGCGGAGCTTAACCGTTGGGCACTGTTAATAGCAGGAAAGGCAGGAGGAGCATCATCATCGTCTGCGCCGCGTACAGTCTCCGTATCGCTGTCGTCACCGTTCTCGGGTGGCGGTTCTGAGACGATCGTAAGCGTCGGGACCACGGGCTCTGCAGAGTTTAAGGGTGATGTAAGCCAGGTACGCAGGTAAGATGTCATCTTGCGAGACTAGGTCCGGAAGCGTAGAGGTCGTTAGAGACGATGAGTAGAAGGAAGCAGGAGTAACGAAGCAAGAGAGGCAGGCTGCCGCGGATTAGTACTCGAGCCTGGCAATACGCGCTTATTCCCGGCGGTTCGCGAGGCTTATCCATTTTTAGAAGGCACAGTGAACTTATGTCTTGTACTCTATCCTCATGAATCGCTATGCTCGCACCTACAAACACACGTAAAGGGCTGCTCAGCTAGAACACGAAACATGATGACGCATAGTTGCCACCTTCAGCTACACATTGACAGCGCACCCTCCCTAGACCTGTGCCAGGCCTTCATCCGCCTCCGAAGGTGACTTGTGTTACCATTCCTAACCCTCCGCCCTCATACGACCAGATGAACAACAATATGCCTATTTCTCTTTCCTTTTCTCGCTCAAAGTGTGCTGGGGCTCTAGCATGGCAGTCTAAGGCTACGCTTACCAACACAAGCGAGAGAAAGTATTCGGTGGAAAAGTATGCTCGCTTGGAGGCGGCCCCGTTCAATGTTGTATGGTGCGTCAGATTATCTCTCCTTCCATCTCAAGCCTGAATCTTCTGTCTACCGCTTTGGCAGACTCTGGCGCACCTCCATGATGTTCTTCCGGACTATTCCGAATCTCCGGATCCCGTATCTTGGCCTGGACTACGGTATCTCCATTAGGCAGACACGACAGGCCGCATGGGCTGAGTGCGATGGGTTACGAGTGGCTATACGCATAAGGTGTAAGAGGAGAGAGGATCGTGCGTTTAAGTCGTCAGTCTGGTTGCAATTTCTAAACGCCCGCGCAATTCTGCATGACGGTCCCGCTTCTGGCCGACCATCAAGTGACATTGCCATCAGGGCCACCTGTAAGGCCCCGTGAGCAGAAGATGACCCCTCCTCTGTGGTGTTTGGATAGATCGGTTTTGGACGTCTGATCTTCTGGCGAGGGCATAAGGCTGATGCGCTGCAGGGTCGAAATCATATACACTCATATACACTTCTCTCTCTCTCCAACCGCCGCTGCCGCCATGGGCCTTGCCGATATTGCACGACACAAACATGCGTACGCTATCGCAGCTTCAGCCGCGTTGGGTTCGATCTTTTACGGCTGGGACATCGGCATCATCGGCGGCGTGCTCACGCTCCCGTCCTTTAAGAGCTACTTCAAAATCAG